CAAACACTTTCGTAAACTTCTTTGATATTCTTTGTGACTACAGAGGCGTTGTTTCCCTTCTTGTATTCAAACAGCATTACATGCCGAATGCTTGTCTCGTCGTGTGTCATCACTATAAGGGATTAGAGTATACTAAACTTTACACATTATATAGTCTACACTAACGTGACGTTTAAGCGGTTCGTTGAACTATTATACGTGATGTACGTTCCATTTCAGAATTGAAAGATAAACCAATCGCAATTATTTAGTTATTTTGTTTTATCATGGTTTTTCTTGACTAAATGGATGAATTTTATTATAAATATAAACCAGAAATTTCCTAAATTCAAAATTATATTAAAAACAGAAAAAGATTTAAGGACTTCCGTCGATATGAACAGTTGGTATTTGGTATCTATTGTTTAAATTTTTCTGTGTTATGCCATTAAGTGTGATGATTGTAAACTTACATTTCCTAGACATGGAAAGACACTTTTAGTTTTTAACACAACATAGCATAGAATCTTATTTTGTAAATTTTTATAAGATAAATTGCAATTACTAATTGCTCCATTGCTTACTGATCCAGAAAATTAAATCCCCACATTCACTGAACAGTGTTCTGACTTGGAGTGATATATGCTAAAAACATTTCACAAATACGAAAAAATAAATAAAACAATAAAAAGTTTTTACGTTCACAGTCAGACTAATTTGATCTTTTTTTCTTCCTCATGTAAGACTGAAGCTCCACTACTGATCAAACCCTTCCTACCCATAATGACCAAATCAGAACTTCATGCTGTGATGACAGGGGGCTTTGCTACCATTGCTGGAGGGGTTTTAGCAGCTTACATTAACTTTGGGGTAGGTATAGATTTTTGAGATTTGTTATATGGTTGCAGATAATTAGTCGAAACGCTTTATTTGATAAGAAATTGCAGGACTGAAAGGTAAACAGTTGTTATTATGGTTTCGTAGAGTATTTTTTATTAATAAATGCAAAGGAAATTACAGAAGAAAACGTGTTATTCGGATATTTCATGTATTGGAGAAAACAATTTCGTTAATAAGGTAAACATAACGGAACTAAGTTATTTGATGTATAAACATGCTGATGGAAGTTTCTCGGACTTAACTACTTCCGAGGAAATTGTTTTGTAAGGAAAGAAAGAACATCAAAATATGAAATTTTTTTATGTGAATACACACGTACAAGAGAAAGGAGGTATTTCATTCAGTGTTATTACATAAGGAGCAACAGATGTTTTGTTATAATTGAAGAAATAAATACACGTTCTTTTTTTGTTTAACTTAAGTTATGGGACCGAATTCGAGATGATATCTTATTACTTGAATTGTTCTTCAGTGAGTTAACAGCAGATTTACTGACTTACAACAGTAGTCTGGGGTTCGATTCCTCTTGGTGCACAGATAGTTTATTATGTAGTTTTGCGCTAAAGCAAACAAACAATTATTTGAATAATATAGTTTACTGCCTTTACAAGTACGAGATAAGCTTTATATTTTCATTCTTCTATTCGTACTTTTTTATCAGCCACCAAATATAGTACGGGTCTCCATTTGGTTATTTATGTCGAGTGTTACTACTGTTCGTGCCATCAGCTTGTATACATTATAAAATAAAATCCGATTATTATACTGTATTAAATAAACGTACTTTTTTATCAGCCACCAAATATAGTACGGGTCTCCATTTGGTTATTTATGTCGAGTGTTACTACTGTTCGTGCCATCAGCTTGTATACATTATAAAATAAAATCCGATTATTATACTGTATTAAATAAACGTACTTTTTTATCAGCCACCAAATATAGTAGGGGTCTCCATTTGGTTATTTATATCGAGTGTTACTACTGTTCGTGCCATCAGCTTGTATACATTATAAAATAAAATCCGATTGTTATACTGTATTAAATAAACGTACTTTTGTTAAATTTGTGTTCATAACTTTGTTTTTCTATTTTTTTTAGTTACTTCGACTATTATTACGAGATTTTCTTATGTTAGTTTTGGTATCATGATATTTTCTAATTTTGAATCATCTGTCTAATCAGAATTATTCTACTTCTGTGGACTCGATCATCCTACTTTGAATGTTACACAATGAAAAAAAAATATTTTCCCAGTGTTATTGGTTTTTCGTCTGGTTTCAGTTAATCTTTTATTTTATTATTATTTTTTTATATTGTCAGTGTGAAAATTTCTGCAATTACATGAGGCCCGGCATGGCCAGGTGGTTAGGGCGCTCGACTCGCAATCTGAGGGTCGCGGGTTCGAATCCCCGTCAAACCAAACATGCTCGCCCTTACAGCAGTTATAATGTGACGGTCAATCCCACTATTCGTTGGTAAAAGAGTAGCCCAAGAGTTGGCGGTGGTAGGTGATGACTAGCTGTCTTACACTGCTAAATTAGGGACGGCTAGCGCAGATAGCCCTCGTGTAGCTTTGCGCGAAATTCAAAACAAACAAACAAACAATTACATGAAGATGCGTCTTAAAATCTTTAGAACAGTCTTAAAAAATAGCTGAAGATCTTTCTATAAAGCAAAATTCCAGAATCTTTTTGTTTTAGTAATAACAAAAAGTTGTAAAAAAAATAAATAATTATTTTAAAGCTTTATCTAGGACAAAATTATAAGTTTATTTTATATTGAGATTAAACCTCTTGTAAGACCAATTATAAAGTGTAATTTGTTGGATTCCACTAAAAAATATTGATAGAAGTTGAGGTTAAGAGATAAAAAATAATGTTTATAAAAACCATGAATTTTCTTAAGAAGAGTTCTTAGTCATACGATCTATGGCTAGTTATGGATATGACATTACTCTATAAGTATCGTATCACTGATAGTAGCGTAGTGTTAGATAAGCACTACGCTCACAAAAATAACTCTTGTATAGTATCGCACTTTCAGCTGTGGGGACGCTATAAATTTAATATTTAATTCCATTATTTTTGGTAAGAGCGACCGTATAGGCGGTGAGTGCTGATAACTAGTTGCCCTCTACCTTCTGCCGATGACCATGGCTGATATCTTATGGGTCTCTGACGAGGCCGTTTATTCTGTGTGTCACACAAGGTAGCATTCAAGTTGAAGCTATCAAAAATACCAAAATACTCGTGTATCATGCGTGTACTACTAGCACCTACTTCCCGACACACATTCACTCTCAATACTCGTGTATCATGCGTGTACTACTAGCACCTACTTCCCGACACACATTCACTCTCAACACTCGTGTATCATGCGTGTACAACCAGCACCTACTTCCCGACACTCATTCACTCTAACAAAGACGGTAAAAAGAACTGTACGCTGCTGAAATATCCATAATTATAAATCTTGAATTTATTATTTCTCTCAAAAGCTGTTTTAACAACCTTAAGTTTGTAGTTTCTTGTTGAAGTCGATTGTGTCTAATAGAAACCAATAACGCAGCTGCATCATCGATAACAATAACCTTGACAAACCAGTATATAGACCATTTATTCAATACCGTACTGTGGAAGGTAAGAAATTAGAAAATAAAAGCAAAAAAGCGTGCGCGAGATTTCACCGATACTTGTTACTTTTTTTAAATTTAGTACATCCATTTTTTATTTTTTCAGTTCTTGCTTACTTTTTTAAAATTTTATTATATTGTTTTTTTTGTTTCTTTATTTTTCACCAGAAATCGAACGACAGCGTTTACTTTCTGCTTCTGTTAAACAATCGATCTATCTATAAATTGAGAAACAACAAACAGTGTTATATAACGTGTATTGGAGAAGATATAATTAACGTTTTTTACGAGACCTAACGAAACCTAGTTTCGTGACGTTTCAACGAAGAATTCAGTTTATTCTGTGACCTATTTAAGAAGTAGGATTATAGTACACTTACTCATTCGTTGTTTGGAGGCTAATTTGGTTCCAAAAACGTTTAACAAATATGTCACATCACGTATATATAATTTTTGTGTTTTTTCTAAAGTAGTGATACCAATTTACATTAGTTAAATCTCTGTAATTGAACATTATTACTATAGTAACTAACTTGATATAGTTTTGTCTGTTTCCTAATACCCTATAGGTCAGTGCTAATCACCTGCTATCAGCATCTGTAATGTCTGCTCCAGCAGCTCTAGCCTACTCTAAACTATTTTATCCAGAAGTCGAGGAAAGTCGTACTCACGCAAACGACATCAAGATGGAAAGGGGGTAAGGATGGAGAGAATGGGAAATTTGTGGATTCGGTTCCAATAAAATAAAATGAGAGTCCATATCAGGACTAGGTAACTAGTGTTGTTATAAATTGTATTACTTCACGTCAACCCAGTAATGAAGCTCTGAATGGATTTAGGTGGGGCAATTTGTCTTATGTAGTTTTTAATTACATACATTCATAAATTTTTTTGTTGGTGAAGAGCGATTAAGACTGATTACAACTCGGCCAACAATGATATATTTAAACACTGTTTAACAACCCAGCCAGCACTGATTGTCTATATGTACTGACACTGTTCAGCAGCCTAGCCACCGATGATTGTCTGTATGCACTGATACTGTTTAGCAGCCCAGCCAGTACTGCTTGTCTATGTGTACTGACACAGCACTTATTGTTTATATGTACTAACACTGTTTAGCAGTTCAGCCAGCACTGATTGTCTATATGTACTAACACTGTTTAGCCACCCAGCCAGCACTGATTGTCTATATGTACTAACACTGT